AAAAAAAAAAAGTTTGGTGCTTTTTTTTTTTTTTTTTTTTTTCCCCTCCTGTTTAAAGAGTCCCCCTCTCTCTCTCTTTTTTTTTTTTTTGGCAAGGCTAATTTTGTTGACCGTTGCACCAAACCAAACGAACCGGCCGGGCCGAGCTGCGCTCCCCGCACCGAACAGCTGAGCCCCGCACGCTGCTGGCACCGCCCCCCCCCCGCACCGCACCGCACCGCAGCTGCCCGGCTTCCCCCATTCCCTCAGCGCTGTGCTTTAAGTACCCAACAACACACGCGCAGAGCTGCCAGATGCATTTGTTCAAATCTTCCTCCTTCAAATGATCGTTACCAAATGGGAGAATAACCTAACGGGGATTATCTAATCCTTGGTGTGCCACCGAAGCACACGGAGTGCCCACACACTGCATACTGCTGCAGAACAGAAAGTTCCCAGCCCTGCAGACCAACACAGAACTTTATAGTGCAGTTTTATTTTTGGGTCAGTTTTCTCGAGGTTTGGGTGTTGATATTGATTTCTGCCTGTTGATCCCATATTCCTTCTACATTAAACAACTGGTACAAAGAGGGATTCAGATTGGATATTAAGAACATATTAGGAACAATTTCTTCTCCAAAAGAGCAGCGAGGCGCTGGCACAGCTGTCTTGAGAATGGGGGGGAGTCACTGTCCCTGGAGATGTTCCAGATCCATTGGGATGTGGCACTGAGGGACATGGGCAATGGGCATGGGAGGTTTAGGTTGGATATTAGGAGGAAGTTTTTCTCCCAGAGGGTGGTGAGGCACTGGAACAGGTTGCCCAAGGAGGCTGTGGATGCCCCATCCCTGCAGGCATTCAAGGCCAGGCTGGATGTGGCTCTGGGCAGCCTGGTCTGCTGGTTGGTGACCTGCACATAGCAGGGGGTTGGAACTGGATGAGCATTGTGGGCCTTTTCAACCCAGGCCATTCTGTGACTCTGTGATTCTGTGATTCTATGATGGGATGGGTTTGAGTTGGAGATCTGAGAGGTCCTTCCAACCCTGATGACCCTATCGTTCCATGTAGGGACATGGGCATGGGTTGGACTTGGGGATCTTTTCCAGCCTTAGTGATTCTGTGATTTTATGTACAGCTTTAAGCCCCTAACTGCAAAATGATCCCTGCTTCACCATTATCAATTCCATTTTAGCTAGGCTCAGCATGTTTTCATCCCTTACAGTAGAAACTAATGATCTCCACTGCCCTTCTTATAAGGAGATGCGTAGTCCACATAGCACAGACTTGCAGAACAGTGGCAGGAAAGCCATCAAGTCATTCTTATGCTTTGAAAGCCTTTTCTGCCATTTAAAGAAAAAAAAAAAAAAAAAAAATCAGAGAGAACCAAGGGCTTTTAAATGGAGTTTTGGTAATCCCACATGGCTTTTCACTGAAGTGGCAGTATTTTTATTTTGAGTACCAATATTCACTAACAGAGAAACGCGGAGCCAATTATATCTTGGTCATTCACCAGCATGAATGAAGCAGATATTATCCAGTTCCTCCTCCAAATCATAACAAGGAAGGAACACTTGCTTGCATCCTACTGCACTAATTTCATGGGGTTGGAATTGATACACTGATAGTTCATTACAAAAGGACCCCAAATATTTGATGAGCAACAGCCTGAAAGGAACTCTACCGAATTGCAATGACTCTGGTGAACAGCAGTAATGTTCACAGCCTTCTCAGAACCCTTCTGTAAAACACAAAACAAAACCAACCCAACAGAGAAAAGTGAAATTAACCCGCAGTGTCCCTGCTTCACCGCTCTGCACCCAGGAGAGGCTGAGCCTCGACTTTTCCTTTCTCATGTCAAACCACCTCCAACAATTAGTTTTACGAGGCCTGGCTTATCCCCTTCCGAAGAACAAGGGCGAGTTTCCCTGCAGGAAATGAAAATTGCATCCAGGTTGTGGGGCTGCTTCAAAGGGGCACAGCCCCAGCCAGCAGGTCACTCCCTGCCTCCTGCAGCTTTGTTCTCAGCAATGCCGGGGGGGCACCGCTTCCCAGCTCCTATTTACCTTTGTCTTTTTGCTACTTACACATTTTTCTTCTTTTCTTCATCTTTTTTTTTTTTTTTTTTTTTTTTGCTCTTTGTCTTCCTGACTGTATGTATTTTCCTTTACTGTATTTATTTTTCTTTCACTTCAACCCTGTGTAACCATTCTTTCCCAGATGCGCTCCCCTCGGTGCAGGCTTAGGGCTGTCCCGCTGTAGCAGCATGGTGTGAACAGCTCAGAGATCTTTTTGCTCTGTCTTTACATCCCATCACCAAACTCACGGCCCTTTCCCTCTGTTAGGACAGGCAGAGGCTGGCACACACTGCAGCTGTTGCCTCTCAGCCTTAAGGCTGAGTGCATCGCTCCTACTCCCAACTGCATTGCTTCCCTTTATTCTGCCCTCACTTCCCCCTGGTTAGATAGCAGGAACAATTTTGTCTAAAGGCATTGGAACAAACTGCCCAGGGAGCCTGGGCTCACCGTTCCTGGAGGCATTCAGGAACTGTGGAGATGTGGCACTGAGTAACACAATGATGGGCACAGAGGGATGGGTTGGGGTTGGACTGGGGTACCTGAGAGAGCCTTTCTCTCCCCACTGCTGCTGTGCCACTTGGAAAGGGCAGCTCAGAGGAGCTTCATGTTCATCCTGCACCTACATGTGAAAAATGAATCCACGTTGTAGAAAGTCCAGGTGATTTTTAACAGCTCACATCTGACTGTATCATGATGCAGGCAGTTAGCTTGGACTCTGGTCATCAAATTACTCGTTCATGCAGAAGCTCTTGTTCACATGGCCCTGGAAAGGTCAGTTCAGAAGAGAGACGTATGGAAAAGACAGGTATGGAATAACTTCCCTGGAAACAGCATAACATGAGGGTTAGTGCAGACACCAGGAGATGCACTGAAGGAAGCATCAACTCCCATTGGCAGAAAGAGTTTGGAGAAGGAGTTAGTTGCTGCTGTAGACCCATCTCCTTTTGGATATCCAGGGTACCTCACTGTAACTGCAGCATCGAGTGCTATCCAGAAATGTGAGCCTATCTGTTCCCATACGTGCCAAAAGGCATGAAGACTTGCCTGAGCTTAGCTACAGGGATCTGCATTTTTGGGGCCTCCAGGCTGAAGTTTTTGCTTCGTATTGTAAACAAAACAAAACAAAACAAAACAAAACAAAAATTCCTTTTCCCTTTGAAAGCCGTTTGTCCCCCCGCCAGCCGCTGAGACTTTGTGTCTCCAGCCCTCCCTCACTTCATTAACTCTCTGCAGAATCTAGATCCTGCTGAATGGTGACTGCAGGGGCAGATTGCAGCACTCTGTAATTAACAGGCGGAGATGGAGCGTGTGATGGCATGACCCTTCACCACAGAGCTCTGCTGCAGACCTGTCCCAGTGCTCCAACAGCACGCTCCCAGGAATAGCATCCATCCACTCTGTGCTCTGGGGTGAAATGCTTGCTCTGTTACATGGATCTGGATGGTTACTGTGCATACTTGGGAGAAGTTGCATTCTCTAGATTGCCTGGTCTATGAGGGCAAGTTTCCATTCTGCATATCTCACTGAGCGCACACCCTGCTGGGCTGTCGCGCTGCCTCAGGCTGTGCAGAGTGCTTGAAGCGAGGTGTTAAGCCCATGATATGCAGTGCAAGCTCAGCAAACTTACCCCTGTGCTATCAATAGATATGCCCCTCCCTTCCTTCCCCTTTGCAGCTCCCAGCTTTGCTCACAGCCTTATCCACGTCCTGTCCCAAAAGTCCCATGATGCTGAATTCACCCACCACTGCTCTGACCTCTGAGCAGAGGCAGAACCACCCCAGCACCCCACTGCCATCACTGCCCTGTACCCCAATCTCCAGCACCCAGCTGGTGTCCCTAATTCCACATAGCGTCTCCTTGTTGCACATGTGCAAAAAATGCTTACAGAGTTGAGTTTGTTTGAGTGGAGCTTGCTTCTTTATGAGATGTCCTTGGGAGCTGTGGAAGAAACAGAGCATTTCACTTGGACACAGTGAACAAAAGAAACAGAAGGAACAGAAGGAACAGAATTTTTCACTTGGAGGGCAGTGAGGTGCTGACACTGCTGCCCAGAGCTGTGGTGTCCATCCCTGGAGGTGCCCATGGCCATTGATGGGTTCTACGCAGCCTGAGCTGGGGGTACAGGAGCCAAGGATGGCTGCATCCCATGGACAGATTGTAACGCTGAATTCATAGAATCACAGAATCATTAAGGCTAGAGAAGACCTCTCAGATCCCCAAGCCCAACCCCAGCCCACCCCCACCATGCTCACTGCTCACATCCCTCAGTGCCACGTCCCCACAGCTTGGAACACCTCTAGGTTGGTGATCCTCCTGCTCCCTGGGCAGCTGTGCCACTGCATCACATCATTCACTGCAGAGCCCCTGAGCTGAAAGGTTTTTAAGTACATTTCTTTTTAGATAAGAAAGACATTAAACCAAGTCTCATCTTGCCTGAATGATAAAGCATTATAAAATTATATCCTTCTAAAGGCCGAGGGAGCTGGGAGTGTTCAACCTGTGAAGGCTCTGTGGAGACCTCATTGCAGCCTTCCAGTACTTGAGGGGAGCTTACAAGCAGGATGAGGACCAGCATTCTACACAGTCCAACAGCAATTGGACACAGGAGAATGGTTTTAAATGAAGAGAAGGGAGATTTAGGTTAAATGCCGGGTGTAAATTTTTCACTTGGAGGGCAGTGAGGTGCTGACACTGCTACCCAGAGCTGTGGTGTCCATCCCTGGAGGTGCCCATGGCCATGGATGGGTTCTACGCAGCCTGAGCTGGGGGTACAGCCAGCCCACAGCAGGAGTACGAAATGGATGAGCTTCCAACTTCCAACTAAAGCCATAATGAGACTGATATTCAAGTATCACAAGAGGGACAGAGGCTGGGGCATGAGCACATCACCCTCCTGCCCTTCCCC